TAACAGGTAGCTAAAGCTAAGAGCTAGCACAATTAGCTGAAAGTAATTGTTAGCTAAAAATAAAAACAATAAATACTTGCTAAAAAATAATAGTCAGCTAAAGTAAATAACTTAAATGGTTATCAAAATTATAAATTAATAAATGATTAGCAAAAAAGAAATAAATATTTAGCTAAAACTAGTAAGTAGCATTAGCAACACAACTAGCTGAAAGTAATGGTTTGAATGGTTAACTAAAGACATCAAACTGTTTGCTAAAAATAAAAAATAGTCCTCTAAAGTAAAAAAATAAAATGGTTAGTTCAAAGAAATAAATAGCAAAAGTAACAAATTAACTATAACTCATAATTATAGCTAAAACTAATAAGTAGCATTAGCTACATCGTTAGCTAAAGAGAATAGATGGTTAATTAAAAGTAATAAGTAGCATTAGCTACATCTTTAGCTAAAGAGAATAGATGGTTAATTAAAAGTAAAAAATAAAGTAAAAATAATCGAAACATTAGCTAAAAATACTACATTGGTTTTTCTTTTGTTTGTTTAAAAAGCCAGCTAAATGAAAAAATGTAGTCTGGCTGTAGCTTCCTCCTCTATGACTGAGAAGACAGCGGTGAGGACTGAAGGACTGAATGGAGTCAGAGCTCCATCTGGTGGACAAACGGCGACACTGTGACACTTAACAGAATTACAGTTTTAAGAGAAAACAACCAGACGGTAAACCAGAACATCAGTAAAATGTCATCATCTGTTCATTGTATCAACATTTCCTGAAAAGTTCATGAAAATCTGTTCAAGTTGTCTTGCTAACAAACAAACAAACAAACAAACAGATAAACAGATAAACGCCGGCCGAAACACAACCTCCTTGGCGGAGGTAATAATAGATTAATGATGAGCTCTAAAAGTTAAAAACAGTTGAAATAAATATGTTGTTTTCAAACTAATTAATTATCATGAAGTAACTAAAAGTCATACATACAGATGTAATATGGATAATTTATATAAAAGACCACATTTTAGATGAAACTGTGAATAAATATGGTAGAATGGTTAAAATAGTTGTTAAAAAAAGTAGTAATTTATCTTTATATAGGTGATAATGTTAATCAACATTCAGATTAAAATAATCAATCAGTCTGGATGTCACAGCAGACCAGAAGGTTCAAAATAAACATTTATTCACACAGTGACAAGCAGTGAATTGTTCTCCCAAAACAATCATTTGAAAGCTGACAAACTTGATGAGTACAGTAGAGAAATTCACAATAAAAGCACGTAGACGATGACTTGAAATGAAAACCAAAGACACAAGCGGTGTAACGTGTTCCTGCCCGGCTCACCAGGACCTGTGTCGCCAGCACATGGCCTCCAAAGGCGCCTTCGGGCGGCTGGAGGCTGCAGCTCTGGGCGCCGTGGGGGGAGCGAGCGGAGGTGGAGGAGGGAGCGGGGGCGCCGGAGGAGGAGCAGGAGGCGCTGGAGGAGCGACGGGAGGAGCAGCAGGAGGAGGAGCCGACTCCAGGGTCAGCAGCGTCTCGTCCCAGTTCAGCGACGGAGCTCAGCCCAGTCCCAGCTCCCACAGCAGCACCCCGTCCTGGTGCGAGGAGCCGGCTCAGGCCAACATGGACATCTCCACCGGACACATGATCCTGGTCAGTGCCTGGACCGGAGCATGATGGCTGATCCAACCCCAGAGTAGCTCAAACCGAGATGTTCTGTCTTTGTTCGCTGCGTAGATGCTTGAATACAAGATAACACCAGATAGGAGATGTTGTTCTTTTTGAAACCTGGGTGATAACGAGCTCTGTTTCTGAAGGCCTACATGGAGGACCACCTGAGGAACAAGGACCGTCTGATGAAGGAGTGGGAGGCTCTGTGCTCCTACCAGGCCGAGCCCAGCGCCGTGTCCGTGGCCCAGAGCGACGCCAACGCCAAGAAGAACCGCTGCCCCGACTCGGTGCCCTGTGAGTTCAACCTCATCCAGCTTTATGCTTTATGGAGAGTTTCAGGGTAGTTTATGAAACTGGGATTTAAATGTTGAATGTCACCGTTGTCCTGCAGACGACCACTCGCGGGTGAAGCTGAAGGCGGAGATCAACCCGTCTCGGTCGGACTACATCAACGCCAGCACCATCGTACGTCTGAGGAACGCTGTCTGTCTCAGTTCATCCTGAATGTCCTGCTAAACAGAGTTAAAGCAACACTCCAGGATGTGTTTGACAGAACAGAAGCTCTCCTAGCAGCATGCTGTAGCTCCAGTAAATCCACATTTAGTGATTCTTTTCCATGTCTGCAGATCGAACACGACCCCCGGATGCCGGCCTACATCGCCACCCAGGGCCCCTTGTCACACACCATCTCCGACTTCTGGCAGGTACAAACAGGAAACTATGATCTCAAACCGTCTTTTTTAAAATATGAATCCTGAGGAAAGTGTTTCAACAGGACGAGCTTCAGATTAAATGAGTGTGTGCTGCTTGCAGATGGTTTGGGAGAACGGCTGCACCGTCATCGTGATGATGACGGCTCTGGTGGAGGACGGAGAGAAGCAGTGCGACCGCTACTGGCCCGACGAAGGCTCGTCCCTCTATCACATCTACGAGGTGAGCACGCCCCTGTGTGTGTGTGTGTGTGTGTGTGTGTGTGTGTGTGTTTGGACTGGCGTGTTGGTTCAGACATGTGTGATCAGCGTGTCGCGTTCGCAGGTGAACTTGGTGTCGGAGCACATCTGGTGCAACGACTTCCTGGTGCGCAGCTTCTACCTGAAGAACGTCCAGACGCAGGAGACCAGGACCCTCACTCAGTTCCACTTCCTCAGCTGGCCGGCTCAGGGCATCCCCACCTCCACGCGCCCCCTGCTGGACTTCCGCAGGTACTGCAGCTGCTGCAGGTCCACATGCTGCGGGGGCATCTCCTGTCATTAGAAAGAGGTGGAAAAAAGTTCAATGCTAAATGCACATAAGCTGAAATATATCAAACCCAGTGAGAAGTGTCCATCAAGGACCCCGAGACACTTCCATGTCCACTTCCACTTACAAGTGTTGAGCTGTGTAAGTCTTGTTCCACCATATTCTAATAATATGAGATGCACCAGATGTTTACTTTCTTCTGTCTTCGGCCCAGATGTAGACAGCAGATTAAAGCCAGTAACCTTCCATACCCTCCCCCCTCTCCTACCTGTTCCCCTGTGTCCTAACCCCCCTCCCCACCCTGTGCGATGGAGGTGGTTTAGTTTTTCAACATATCAGTCTGTGTCATTCTTGTGGTTTGCAGCTAGTAGTCTGGGTCCAGTTGCATAGTCACAAAAATGATCATGGACTGATGTGGCTGCAGCAGGAGGTCCATTGCCCCGAAAACCTCCCCCTTTACCCCCCACATCTATCTATCTATCTATCTATCTATCTATCTATCTATCTATCTATCTATCTTGGTTCTTTCATAGATTTAAATTATTAGCAGTCTGCAGTAAAACACACTTAAAAAGAAAGATATAATTTGTATAATCTATGAAAGAGCCTAAAGTCATGCCTAAGAATTGAAGAAATTGATAGACGGTTTTTCTTTAGTCGTCTGTTAACCACCAATCATTGTCGTTTTCTGTCCTCAGGAAGGTGAATAAATGCTACCGAGGACGGTCCTGCCCCATCATCGTCCACTGCAGGTAAGGAACTGAAGCGTCTCGTCGCAGTCTGCTCAGTGTGATTCGGGGATGTCGGGTAAAGGTTGTCTTGTGTTTCCACAGCGACGGAACAGGTCGGACCGGGACCTACATCCTGATCGACATGGTCCTGAACCGCATGGCTAAAGGTCAGCTCCACATGTCAGTCTGTTTGTTTCGTGGTTATTCTGCTCCTGTGATCCACTTTTAATCAGCCTGTTTCCTCTCAGGTGTGAAGGAGATCGACATCGCCGCGACGCTGGAGCACGTCAGAGACCAGAGACCTGGGATGGTCCGCACCAAGGTACCACTTCTTAGAGTCTTAATTAGTGTACAAAAAAATAAATATCCCCCCTGAACCCCACCGCAACAGGTGGGATTCGAACTCAGATCACAGCTGCGACAATCCCCAGACACTTGGAAGTGGTCTTAGTCTGACAGCCTGTAAGAAGAACCACCTGTTTGAGTGGAACCTGAGAGTCTCCACACCTGACCA